TGATCTTACATCTCTTCTGGATAAACATGTAAAGGCACAGAAAGCTCAAGCTGAGCAGATTCATGGGCAATACATACCATTGTTTGGACAAAAAAAATGAAACCAGGTTAATATTAGCACCCAGGCTGATTTTAACTTGTAGCTCACTGAAAATAAAGCTTTTGTAATGGGACTGTTGATACAACCTTAACTGTAAGAGCACAAACACTGCTACTGAAATACAGTTTTGAGTAAGCTCCATCAAGGAGTGTTTTGTAAATGAATAATGACTTTGCTTAAAGCCAATCAACATCAAGTGTGTTAAAAAAGATGAAATAGTGCTGGAAGGCAGTGGGAGGTAGAGGAGCCTCAAAGTGCAAACAGGTGCTGATCTCCCTTCAGGGGGGATTGAGTGGCACAGACCTTACAGGCCTGTCACTTCTGATCAAAGCAAGCTCCAAGACCACATAATCACCATCACCCACCTTTTAAAGGATGCCCTGATTTATCATCTGTCAGTGTTAATAACTTGGCTACTCTGTCTAAAATACTTAAGAACATTACACAAGGATAACATTTCAAATTTTTTTTAAAGAAATGTGTAAATGTTTTAAACTAAAATGCACTGAAGTTCCTCCTTTGAGGCCATCTGTTGTTGGAGACCACCTGTCATCAAAAGACCACCTGAGCACATAATATCCCATCATTACAGAACTATCCCCTTGAAGCCATGGGTTTTAAGTGGTAGAATAAGAAGGGTGTATGTTTCAGACGTTGTTGTTACTGGGCTTTTCATATAGTTTGAAGCCATGGGATGACAGCCATATGTGAATAATGGCTTCATAATAACATACATATAAAATGCTACTTTGGGAAAAATCTGATAAGAGATCTGAACATTCCTTGACGGAGCTCCTCACATCCTTTCAACCATGGTGCTTGCACTGTACTGTTCAAAGTGTCCTAATACGTCATACAAAAACTAAACCTTGAAACTACTGAGCTTAGTTTTATTTCTATTTATAAGAAGCATTGGCATTTCACTGAGAAACAAGATTCATATTGCTGTAAATAGAAATTTGTGCATTTTTTTCTGAATCCCCTTTTCCCCTGCTGATCTCATACATACTCATATAAAGATGTACTCTACCTTGCCAAAAATAAAGGAACTTTCTGCCTTTCTTCTACCTGATCCTAACATATGAATCTCTACCTGAATGTTGAGCCATAATCTGCATCATCACAACCTACACAGTTTGAGACAACTTCTACCCTCATGGGTAATCTACAGCTCCAACAGGAGAGAACAGAGCACTCATATACAAGCCTGTGGCAAACATCTGATTCTTGATTTACAGTGTACGTACCCACTAACAGAATGACTTCTTTTTGTGATATTTTTGTCTGATAAATGCCACTGGACTGTGATAAAATATCCTTTCCTGAAGGACATTCTGGACTTGCATTCCTTCCTCAACAAGTTTGCTACGGTCTGACTGAATTGTTAATATATCCACATAAAGACACTTGAAAGTCTACAGATAAGCAAATATCCAATAGGCCTTGAGAGTACCTAGAGAAAAAATCCTATAAAATTCAACAAATACAAATAAGAACATGATTTTACTAAAATATAAAATTACTGTGAAAAGAAGCTTAATATAGAATATTTTTTGATACTTTTCTTAAAGACTTTTTGGCATTATTATTATCATCATCATCACCATTTAACTAATGTGCAGACTTCTAAGACAAGGATAGAAATCTCTGTCAAAGTATTAATAAAGTTATATTAGATCACTGAAATGTTGTGAAAATAAGCATATCACTTTCCCTTAATAGTTGTAAGCTTCCAATTCCTTAAGTAGCAACTCAACTTCAATATTAAACTGTTAAGCCTGTTAGGAGTTACGGGATAGTAAGAAGTACGATTTCTGAATTAATTCGTCCTTAAAGACAATCTTTATACGCTGCTGAATTTACAGTACATGACTCCTGATGCAATGAAATCAGCCTCCATATATATTTCAAGAATCTAGTTTGCTTACCAGTTTAAAAAAAAAAAATCCTGAATAACTGCGAAGCTGAAATAAAACCTAAATTCTTAGTTCACAGTTTAGCAAGAATCTATTTGTAACACAATGCATGTAGCCAAGCATTCATATTTGGCATTTTCATAGAAGAACTTGCAGTTCTGCTCTGGTGACAATGAAGGCCCTAAGCTGACAACTGATTAAACT